TCTGGGTAACGAGCCTGCTTTACTAAACAACAGTCTTTCATCTTTTTCTAAGGTTTCCACTGAGTATGTCTCGAAAATTATTTCTCCATTAGTATCAAAGTCGTGCAGTCTTGATCCTCTTCCTGGCAAAGCTTTAAAACTTTGCATAGATCAGTTAATCCCGATTATTACTAAAATAATCAATCTTTCNAAATCCCGACCCCGGGGCAATTTTGCTTTTTWAAGCACGTTAAAAACGCGTCACGTCCCCGTTCAGTGCCTCGCAAGCCCCGAGGGTCGGGGTCGGGGGGTTCAAGTGACTAGTGCATAAGAAACACTCGTCATAGACGAGACACATTCCTTTTCATATTTCAATTTTCTTATGAAGAAATAAACTGATTTCAAATATAAACCAATCTGCTGTTGTTATTGTTTTCTGGTAAAGTATGTACGATTCAAAATGGGATCGAAGAGCAATCGCTCCGGGATCTCTCACAATGAATCTAGATTAATTATTCATGTGTCTTATTTCAAAACTGTTGGTCTAGTTGGTTGACCYTGCAAATACTTGCGAATACAACATTTAAACACAACTTCAATTCATAACCTTTGTGTAATGGATTGGGTTAAACTTTGCTTGAAGCTGATGTCAGTATCGCTTGGGATTCCTGTCCCGGAAGTCAACTGGTGCTCCACTAAAAGAGCTTACTTCTAYAAATTTGCAAAAACACTTTTTTCTTTCGTGTTTTATCCGACCTCCTACTAGAAGTTTAAGTGTTTTAAAACTAATCTACAATTTCCCGCTATTTATGATTAACAACGAGACGAGCGCGCCTTAACACCATATATGGATTCACCACAGGAAGACCAAGTAAAGAAAACATGGAGTTCGCGCTGGCATTTTTTGTAGATGTCAACTGCGTTTTACTACTGTCTATCTCCTCACCTTTCACCTTTCAAGGAAGTAGAAGGAGTCAAAAGAAACTTCACAGAATTGGTGAATCGAAAGTCAGTTTCTTTGAAAATCAAGTTTGAAGCTGGTGTCTTTCGAAATGTAACGGATGCACGTTACTATCTGCACGGTCGATCCCGAACGATATTTGCTAATATTTTTAGGACGAGAGTCAAGCCTTAGTCTATTGCTTCGAAATGATTGTCTTTGGTCACTACTGGATAGCATCATGAAGCTTGAAATGTAGAAGAGCTAATCTTCTGAAAGAAACCAGGAGAGGATCACACTTTCCATGAAAGTATTCTGAAAAGTGTGTTAGCTTGACCAAACGCAATTTTCCTCATCTGCCATATAAATATCTGTGACTTTTACTTATGAAACAACACATCGACAACAAAATTTTGGTAGAATTGAGGAAGGGCTTGACACTTAATATATTTGTTAAAACAATAGACAGTAGGAAAGAATGCTCGATGACAAGGTTTACTTCCCAGAATGCATTGCAAGCATCAAAGAACTTTCAGGAAGACCAAAAATAGACGCAAAAATTACCATAGGTGAAATGTCAGGTAGGTCAAGGAAAGGGAGGCTTATTGGCTTAAACAGTTGATATGTGAATGCTGTTGATCTTGATATTTGTCAATTTTCAGGACTCGAGAGCAAAGTCAAGATGTACATTGAAGTTCTGTTTGAGAAACTGGTCATTAAGGCTGTTTATTTGCTTTATGGGTTCCAGTCCTCCTCGGTCAAATCAATGGTAAGCATTTAGAGTAGGTTTGTGATGTTGTATTGAGACGGTTTCTTCGCAGAGACTTTTCAAGTGCAATAGAGCATCAGACTGTCATGTTTACTTCCNNNCAGTGTCAAAATAAGATTTTAAATGCTGTTTACGCCCCCTGACATTGATTTGCGCACAAAGTGCACGCCAAAATTGGACTCGCTGACCAAAATTACATAAGAATGGGCCCTTTTCAGCTTCATAAGTAGTGTTATTACAAAAAATTTATATATAAGCCTACTATATAAGCCTTTTAGAATTATTATTATTATTATAACTTGAGCAAGGCCGCATGGGCAGACTTAATTCGACTTTTGTCTGTGTTTACTGGAAGACAATTCAAAGGAATATTCAAATAAGTCTATAAAATGAAGCTTTTCCTTAAAGAAAGCATTGGTACAAAGGACCCTGTTAGAGTTTCGTATTGCTCTCACTGTTTAGTTCAAGTATTTRACAAACGTTGCACAAAACTGGCGTGTCAAGGCCACCCTATTAGTGAATTTTCAGACTTGAACCTTGAGAACCTTCTTTATCCAGGTGGATTCTTGACCCAGAAATTTAACATTTCTTTCACAAKAAATACCGATGGCGTTAATAAGTATTCTTCTTGTAGTGCTGGCCACCTTTGGCCAGTTTATGTAGTGATCAACAAACTCCCAAAAGAATACAGATTCAAGAAAAAGTATATAATTCCAGCGTACATTTACTGTGATAAAACAGAGCCAAACATGGCACATGAAAAACTCAATAATCTGCATTGTGAAGGCCTTAGAGTTCAAGATAGCGCTATGGGAGATATTAATGTAAAATGTTTGYTTTTTGTTGTATCAACTGATTTGCCTGCTCATGCCGATGTCATGAACATGAAAATATTTATGGGAGATGTGGATGTCATTTATGCAAAGAGGAAGGSGTCCCTTACGGTTATAATAACCTTCATAGAGTGTGGCCTTTTAAAGAGGGAATGCACTTGCGTACTCACGATGATCAGTTAAAATTTGCTGCTGAAGCAGTTAAAGAAAACAAAGCTGTAATGGGAGTAAAAGGTTACTCAGTTTTCGTAAAACTCAACTACAGTTTTGATGTAGTTAGACCACATGCAGTAGACTGGATGCACTGCGTCCCTCTGGGAGTAGTAAAGTATTTAATGAACTTGATGACATTGAATAAATGGAAAGGAAGTCACTTCTACATCGGGTCAAAAATAAACACTCTGTCAAAACAACTTGTATCAATAAAACCGCCTGAAAACATTGGAAGATTGCCACAAACATTAGGAGACCTGACACTCTGGAAAGCAACTGAACTCAAGAATTGGCTCCTTGATTACTCTGTGCCTATACTAAGAAGCTCATTAAATCCATTATGTCATCTCCATTGGTGTCTTCTTGCTGGTAATATGGGCATATTGTGCTCAGATTCAATCTCTTATACTTGTATTGAAGAGGCAGAGCAAATGTTGCGTGACTTCGTCATTTTAATGGAAATACTATATGGCTATACTAAATGCACAATGAATGTTCACATACTTAATCACATGGGGTACTATRTATTACGCCGTGGCCCATTATTGGCTTATAGCTGTTTTGCATTTGAAAGTTTTAATGCATTTATGAAAACATTTGTTCACGGTACACATCACGCCATGGAACACATGAGAGGACGCAGTCGGATCTAAACTGGAAGTATTGCAACTCAGAACACAATAGAATTGAAGTGTCAAAATGTAAACATCGTATGTGTGTATTTAGCAAATAAAATCAAAGATCCATGAGTCACCTATGGACTAATTTGGTCTGATGGAGAGATGTTCGGAGTTCCGGAGTACTGGGTCAGAGAATCTTAGAGACTGATCTACTTTCTTAAACCAAAATATACTCAAAATATACGATTTCAACACGTTACCGTTTTGAAGATTCTTTATCGACGTAAAATAGGCTGTTAAGATTCTCTAATTGTTTCAAATACGAATGAAGACAGCTCTGGAATTAATGTTATCCTAGATCACAATCACAGTTTTCGTGAAAAACATAAAACACGAACACACATGTCAAAACAAAATGGCGCTGAGTCGGCCAAACAACAAATACCTCGCATGATCAAATCGCTTCGAACTTCTACAAAAGCTTAAAATAAATATAATCATGTGTTGCATTCACCAAAACACGATTTTTTTTAGGTAGATTTCATTCTATATATGGAAAACACTGCTTAGAAACGGTTATAATTTATTCTAAACCCGAGTGAAGTCGGGTTTGCATGAATTTGASACACTGTGTCYGTCATAGAGTCGTCGTGCGGAACATGGGAACTGTGTTGTGTTGAACTTTGTCTAAACGATTTCTGTAATAATAGTCCAAATCATGTGTCGAAATATCTCAAAATGTTGATTTGCATTCAAGGCTTTGCTGAGATTTATGGCGCAGTTTCAATCAATCAAGAAAGTTTATTGCCTTTTTGCGCCCAAAATCTCATTACTCATAAGAATTCTTTATATAAATACATCCAAATCAAATTATTTTTAAAGCGTTTTACCCGGAAACGAACACCAAAATTTCTGCAGTATATTGAGTTAAGTTTCTTTGCTGCATGGTTCGGAACAAAGCATTGATTAAAATGATTAGAGCTACAACGTCAGTGAAATAATCAATAAATGCACATACGAACTTCACAATTTCTGCAGTTATTGAGATAAGTTTCTTTGCTGCATGGTTCGGCAACAAAGCTTTAACATGATTAGAGCTACAACTATTTAGCGCGTTAGTGAAATAATAAATAAATAAATGAAAAACCCGAAAACGAACTTCAACATTTCTGTATTGAGATAGGTTTCTTTGCTGCATGGTTCGGGAACGAAGCAAATGATTAGAGCTACAACTTCATTGCGCATCAGTGAAGTAAATGAAAATGAAAACCCGAAAACGAACTTCATTATTTAGAWAAGWTTCTTTGTTGCATGGTTCGGCAACAAAGCATTGTAAAATGATTAGAGCTACAACTATTTAGCACTTCAGTGAAATATATAAATACACATGACCCTAGCATTGCATTTTATGATTTTTWTCGTAATAATATAGTGACATTCAGTCAAAACAGCACATTTATTGCTTAAAAGTACCTTAAATCATTTATGTGAGGCGCAAGATACAAATTCCTTGCTTGGACCCTATTTTTGTTAGCCTAGAAACTGATCGTCGACTTTTGTCAACACTGAAACCGGAAACGTGCTGCCATTGGTTACTGCCATCGATATAAGAGTATTCCGCNATCTTGTTAAGACCTAAAGTCGGCATGTCGGAGATAGCAGAGACGATCTCCAAGAATTTAGATTTCACCGACGACGCTTGGTTTGACAAAGAGACGGGAAGCAAGATTGCTAAAAGGTAATATAACTATGAAAACGCGACATGTTAAAATGTTATTCTAATGTATAAAATTTAAATTTCAGATTCGGCAAACTAATGGCGTGTTTACCAAAGTTCAATACTAAGGATACCACTGAGAACCGAACGGAACATGACTTGGAACAAATTTTGTGTGTCGAAAGGGCGTTTCCACTTTCGTTTTTGGCACACATAACCAGACACGCCTAATGTATTGAAGTCAAACACAATGTAATGCATACCTCATGTCATGCGCTCTTCGAATTAGCTGTCTTCATGACATTTCACAATCCTTTTTATCTCATATAATGACATAAGCGTCATATTTCATGGCAAACGTTAAACCCTTAAACGGTTCTGAAAAAGCGTTTGGTAACCGAGGGCGATCCATCAGACTTTTGAGGATGGGAGTTGAAGTGTAAGATCTAGTTGGTATTGCATTAGAATCCCATTGATATTTCAGAGATCTTTTTAAATTTTACCTTTCTGGATTTTTTTTTCGGTCATTCGGCCCATAAAGAATTTATTTTTCAAAATCTTCCATCCCCCTCCCCTCAAACGTCAAATGAATCGGACTTAATAAATTATAAGCAATAAAAGAGCTTAATTAATAAATTTTAGAGGCTTTATATATAGACCCATCTCGTTATAATGATTATTATAGTGTAATCATCTGTTATTTTAATTGATTTAAAAAAGAATCGGTCGGCAATGCGAAGAATTAACATAATTTGCCGTCGCCGCAAACATCTAAAAAGCTTGTTGACGCATTCTAAAAAGAGACAACTTTTTAAAGAGTTCCCGTTAGTTTTTATTTTTTACTGCTGCTTGCATGAAAATCGCGATTTGCAGATTGCATTGGAATCACATCGATATTTAAGTTCACACAAATTATCGCCGATTATTTAGTACCATTGCTATCAGAAAGTATAAAGATACTCTGCAATCGGCTTGTCAAAAGAATTGTCGGAAGTCAGGAAATAACAATTGACAAAAGCAACAAATAGTCTTATACCGACACTACTCTAAACTTACAGGACCCGGCGATTTTCTATATCTTAAGGGCTGAACTAAAAACATGCTTGCGTAGAACAACTGCTATGTGCTTGAACTAAAATTTGTGGTGGAGCTAGGTAAAGTTGATCCTAACAATATTTTTTGCCTATTTAAAATCGCCGCCAGATTTTCCACTTAAAGGCCCTGTCACACGCGCGATTTGTTCTTGCAACTTGTGTCGCGAATTTTATTTTTGCAAGTTGCTCGAGCTTTTTGCTCGTGTGACATCGCTCGTGCAACTTGCAATTTTGCTTTTTTTGTTGCGCGAAAAGTAGATTCGGTTTCTACTTTCTGCGATTTTTTTCGCGAAAATTTACGTGTGACATGGCTCCTTGCAACTTGCGATTTTTTGATTGGTCAAATTAAAGGCGCGAGAGCCAATCACAAAGCGAGAATTTGATATCTTTACAACTTGAACTTTTGTAAATATTGTGCAGCGGCAAAATGGCTACAAATCGAGCTGAAAATGTTAGTTATGTTGCTGATACTTACGATACAAGTACTGAAGATACCTTTACAAACGAATTACTAAATAGAAAGTTAAAAGACAAAGACAAATTGGTTTTTATCACTGAGCTGTCCAAGCGTAAAGCTCTTTGGGGTGCTCAATCGTTTTCAAGAGACGAAAATAAAATGTGCTATCGAGGAGCTCTCTGTACAGTTTTCATTAAGTGAGGAAAACGTGAAAAAGCTCGTTCATTCACTTAGAACTTCTTTGGTAAGAGAGTTAAAGAGAGAAAATGATCACAACAAGTTGAGTTTTATGAAGGCCGAAGTGCTACAATCTATACAGCAAGAGTCCGTGCCTTTTTGCGAACAATTTCTTCGGCCATTTCTCTCTTCGGATCCGTGGTCGAATATTTGAAATTACGCGTGCAACTTGCAAAATGTTTTTGCGCGAGACAAGTTGCAACCGAAATCGCTCGTGTGACATAGCTCGAGCAACTTGCAAAAATAAAATTCACGACACAAGTTGCAAGAAAAAATCGCTCGTGTGACAGGGCCTTAAACGAATTAAATTTGGACAATCTATAAGATTTGTTTCAACACTTCGATGTTGTCGAACGGCAATGAATATTTCCTAATCAGAAACAAAAATAAAATGAAAATTCGTGGATATGAAACAAGGAATAAAGTACTCCGGCTAATTGTTTTAATTAAGGATCAATACATTTTTGCTTACCGGAACAGTATAAAAGCCTGACACCTTCACGTTCTAATCTTTCTTCGTTGTAGAGATGGAAAGATCATCAGTTTTACATCCCTGTTTTTTCTGCTCTCGGATATTTAAAAAGTTGAGTGTCCTCAAGGCACACTTGTTTCATTTCCACCATCTGCCAGTACATACTTCTGACGACAGGTGCTCATACTGTGGACAATTTTTTCGGGGCGGTCTGCATGAAATTTTGGCCCACATTGCCGAGAGACACGGGCCATCATCCATCAACAAGATGCCTCAAACTCTAACGGTAAGGGCCTTCAAACGTTTTTTAACTAAGTTGATGTCTTTTAAATGACAACACTGATTTAGACTTTATGGTAGATCAATGATGAACAAGTATATGCCCATATGTGCAAGAGCTGGTGTTTTTCTTAGAAGGCCATCTAGAAAAGTTTGATCGCGTAAGTAGTGACTGATTTAAGCATCGTGCAAGATTAATAAATCGCTCAAAATGACCCTTTGATCGCATAAGTAGTGACTGATTATCGTGCAAGATTAATCTCAATTTACAATTGATTAAACTGAATTTACAGAGGCAACGACATCAGATGGGCGGAGGTGACCGTTTTGGACAAAGATGGTGAGTGAAATAAATAGACATTATGCACAGTGACAAAGAAATGCAGTAGCTTTCTAACACCATCGAACTTGATTTAAAAACAAAACAAAATAGGCATTTGAATATTGCAAAGCTGTTTCTTGATGCTAACTTTAGCTATTGCTTTGATAGGGATCATATGCTAGAGTTAAATCTAGACTTTGTTTTCAACCAACTGCCGTTCATTAATCAAGGTAACTCTAACGATAAGTACCTTTTGTTTCTTATAAATCAAAGATGGAGAAATAGTGATACTTATATTACCTTATCTTTCTTCTCTTTACTACTAAACAAGGCAAACAAGACAACACGGGTACTCTAATGATGCCTCCGCCTCCATCAAAGCCTCAAAAAGGAAAAGGAATTAAGATATTATATTTTCTATAATAATACTTGTTTATCAACCCATATTCATGCTGTAAACATAGATCGTTCTATCCCAGATATTATTTTACACGAATAAACAATGATATACCATATATCAATATTTAGTTTATTCCAAATAATCAGTGAAATCAGTGAAAAGGTTGATTTTACAGAGGGAATGCCTATTCATTTTTTGAGCTGTGGTCTTCTGGCCTCAAAGGCGTTTGTGTGGACTTTGAGTTATACTCAATCATCCATTGTTCTTTAGACTTCACCAATTTTGCATCTTGTAAAAGCTAGTAATTGACCATTGAAATGACAAGTCAGGAATGAAAATGAAAAAAGTTGAAAACAGAAATCAGAATACACCAAATACCTTAACGACAGGATGCACCCTGTAATAATAACGACCGCGCCTCCAGAAAGCAGGCTGTCGAGGTCGATGTTCTTCATTTTGCATTTTGATACGGAATCTAACAGAAATTGATACCATAATGCGTTCGGCGCATGTAAATAGAGTTAACCGATATACAAACTCAGATATTTACCGTAAAAACAATCGCTCTCAAGAAGTACTCCTCTCAGTCACAGTAGTAATCAGTGTCAAGCACACCTATCATTGTCCAATGACATAAACCTGATCCCAGCAATTGTTTACGTTCATGTTTACTCACAGAACAACGTTAATCGAGACGTTAAGTAGATATAAACGATTTACTGTTTCTCTAATTGATTAATTGAGACTGAGCACACACAATTATATTATAATTGATTGTAAGCATTCTAAAAATGTAGGTGAAAATGGGGCACTGACTGCGCTGCTCCTTCATTAATGCACCATTTATAAATTGCTTGATCATGGGTTTCTTTCCAGAAAAGATTATCATTTATGAACAAATATACAGCGCAAAATAATTGAGCACGGCAAAGGTCTTAATTGTATGTGGTGTAAATTTCCCACGCACAATGCAAACTCAGTCCTTTTAAGTTGAATGGGTTAAAACCCTTCATGGTACACCTTCACACTTAGTGTGTGCTTTTGGATTTACAACAAAGTTTAGGGAAAATAAAAGTCCCAACTGTTGTCGGAGTCACTTACGGCACTTAGTACACTGAATTAAAAGCGACATGCCTGGCTTAAACGCTAACGATACGGTAAGAAAGTTGTAAATTCCTCTAGAGTTGTTGAAATTTTCTTTCGGCGTCTTTTCTACAATCCTCTACAACTATCTTCGTTGCAAGCTTACATTGAATGAATTTCTTTTAGTTCCAGATTAACGCAGATGATGCACAGGTTGCTGTGCTTCTTGAACAGCTTTGTATATATCTTGAACACCAAATCAATGTGTTTGATCAGGTGAGTGTCCATTAACCTTGCTAAATAGAATGTTATTTAAATCGAAAAAAGGTGCTTTCCTTGAAATATGAAATTTTGAGATCCGACTCGCCACACCTTAGCCATCGGGTATCATAGTGTTGTCATCCATTGCGGGTTTCTTATGATTTTCCTAATAACACACGACTCAGACTTTAGAGCCTGTAGTTGATTGATATTTCTCTAATCTTCTATTAGAATTTCCCAAATGCAACTCATCTCCAACGATGGTAAGAGTACTGATTTGAATGAGTCAATGAATGAGTCACTATATTTAATATGTTGTTTACAGTGCCTCTTCCTTTCTTATAGCGTTATAGTGGAAAGAACATTTCACTATTTATCACTGTTATTACACCAAAATATTGCACAGCAACTTACAGCCAATAATGGTAAAATATATAGCGAACAACAATACTTAATGTAGCATTTTAACTCAGGTCAATTTTAAACAGTGCATATATACTATACACAGGTCAGAAACATTCAGATGATGATGGGGCAGGGGAAAAACAGCTGACTTGTTGTTCCTAGATAGTTTCTTTTCGTTACTGCATGCGTATGCATATATTATATATATTATTTTATTCAAAATTTTCAGAAGAATCTTCAGAAGACGAGCCAGAAGCATGATGAGCTTAGGGACGACTTTTGGGCCACTTGAAGTTACCCTCAGCCATTAACACAATGGCTGGGCGTCATAAGTATACTACAAGCCCAGTGCTACAGGTACTACAAACATATATTAATCGAATCTCTCCCCTGCGCTCGACTCTAATGTGACATATAGCTTTCACTGGAGCTGTGTGTTTGGATACTAAACTATCTAGCATTTCAGTTAATAATTACAATCGTGTAAGATTTATTTTTGTTTTAACAACAACTAAATGTCATCGCATGTCCTTCACAGCAGATATCTAAATGGGATTATAGGGCTTCGTGCTGAGAAAATCTTTATCGGACAAAGCTCGTCATGAGGAATACAATTAAATTGTATACAAAAAGTTTATGTAAAAACACTCTTGCCATCATGTTGAACGAGCGTTGTAATGCTGAAACAACGACTGTGTATGTCAATACACAAGCTTTAATCCAACAAAAGTATTCTAACTAAAGTTAAGTAAGACATGTTACGTCAATCTCACTTGCTATAATATTAGTATAAATTATGTATTGAGAAATTTTACCTTCATCACCAACATCTTAGTGTTACTTTTTTTCGTAATTACTTTTATAATCGAATGTAACTTGTAATTGCAATGCATTGAGGTTTTTGAAATAGTGTGACTGACATCCAGTGTCATAGCAGGTACACCACCGCTACTTTGACACACTCATTTGCTTTACCTAGATAGGGGTTACCTTTTGATATGTATCTCTTCTAGCCATCCTAAAGATTTTATTAAAAAGTCTGGGTGTCCCTGTCAGAAAACGGTACTGCAGCACTGCTATTGTTCTTGAATAAATATAACTAGTTGACTTACATACAAACAGTACAATCGTACATTAAACTTTAGGATCTTCAATGAAGAGTTAGATTGTCAAAAAGGAAATCAAAGCAATTTGAGATACTATTTAAATAATAATGATAACAAAACTAAGGCTTTATTAAAAGAACATATTGGTCATATTGTGCTACTCGTGGACCATGACACTAAGAAACAAGAAACAAATGTAACTATAATAACTATAAAACAATATATATAGATATAATCCTATGTACAGCCTTTTGCATATCCATATATTGTCCGAAACACGCGGGTTTAGCTAGAATTCATTGTTGACATCGAGAAAATGTTCAGAACTACGGATAAGTCCGTTGCCAAAAAAATCTAACTACAACAAAAACAAGGGACTAAGGGCATCGCGCGGGATTATCCATCATGCACTTATTATGATATTTAGATATTTCAACAATTCTCAAAATTTTTGTATAAGCTAGACTAGATATATTAGATGTGCATTATATTTTGCCTCAATGTCGAAGTATTAAACATGTTTTTTAACACTCCGGCTATAGGTCAGTGACGACTGAGGACTCTGAAGTTATAGTGCATCATTTGAGCAAGGAATTTAGAACGTTTTCCATGTAATAAAGTACTGATAATACATCTGATTTTACTGATATACACCTTTTGCAGTCTGTAATTTTACACCTTTATGATGTTGTGCCAAATAAAAAAACATGATATTATTCATTTGTCAAGAAGCGAATGGGAAACTATATACCAGTTGATCTAATGAAAAAAGGTCATTTTTCAATCTCTTCAATTTTTCAATCTCTTCAATTAATCAAAGACTTGTAATGAAAAAAAGGGTTAAAAGTGGTACATTTTTGCCGAGGTCTCAAATTCTAAAATTTTGCTGGCCGCAAAATATTATTGTATCTTATATTAGAACCACCTTTCATCTCTGCACCACTCAACTATCAAAGCCGTACGASRTCTAACTTTTGATTTATGATTTTTTGTATTTACCCATATTTTTACCCAACTGGACAACGTCGTTTATTAGTGGCCGTCAAAAATATATATCTCAATAAGAAAAATGTTTATATTGCAGCTACCCAGTTGCACATAAGATATGTATCTACTTTTAACTGAATGCATTTCGTTTTTTAATAATTTCTTATGCGGTTACGGGAGCTTGAATGTCGACCAATTTTCGCAATTTAGAAATGTCAAAAATCTCCGGTTTGACCACCCGAGGGGACCCTCCTGAAACTCGGCAATAAAGCGACGAGACTCAAAACAAAATGTGTTTTGGAACTAACCTTTTAAGGCCACACACACGCACAGAGTTTGAAAGAAATTTATTTTTTCACCCGGAATGGTTATGAGGTTCTTACAGAGACAGCCTCTTAATGCTTGTCGATATGTGTTAAGAGTGGATGCCGGTAAGAATCAAACATTTTCAAAAAATCGTGCCAACTCTTGAAAAATCGATTTCGCTCATACTCTGAACTTAGGTACCCTATTATATAAGATAAACAACCATGTATTTGGTTTTTGAAAATAACGTTTTATTTATGAGTAAATTGAATTTTCGTGGAACGATGTAAATATGCTAATTTTCGAGCTATGAAATGGCGATAAACTGATGGCCTCGTTTGGTTAATGCA